CGGCTTCTGCCGCGCAGACTGGTCAAGCCACAGACCACAGTTGTCTCTCAGGGCAAGTAACTCTTTCGTTTCGTATACGCACCGTTCGCAAACGTCCCGAATTTCGTCGCACACCGTCCGGACTTTCTATGAATTTAAAAATATTACACGCCCTTACCAGCTGCGAGATTTGAGAGATCCTAAGGGCACGTGTGGTCTGTTTAGAAGTTCAAAATAAAGTTCAAACTTTGGGTGGTTACCCTATTCGCTAATTTCGCGAAGGGTGCTTCGCGAACCAAGCATTGTATGGGCTCTGCAAAAGTTCGAGTTTGAAATATGAACTTGACTCGAGTCGGAAGCGGGAACGTGCGTACGCACGTTCATGCGAGCGTGTGTGACTTGCAGCATGCCCGAACAGCTGGCGAAACGAGCGAGCGTTTCGCCAGTGTATGAAGTTGCACAACGAAGACACCCCACAATTCGTGCACACAGTGGTAGCCACATGTCTAGCATCGTGGCACGTTCGAGCACGATGTGGCAACGCGTCCCGCCCGTCTTGACGTCAGTCAAAGAAACTCCCGCCCTTGCCCAATCCACGTCCCCCATACCAAATGTCTCTGGGGCGTGGGAGAAAGTGTAGCCGAAGTGAAGCCCAATTTCGCGAAATGTGAGACCATGCCCAAGCCTGCTAAGTCCCATGGCGACGAATACAAAGTTATGCACATGATGCTTAAGTGTAGCGAAACGGCTGCACTGATACTGGCGCACTAAGTAAACAAAAACGCGTTTGTCAACCCGCAAATACTCATAGAAATTGTCCTCGAGCAAGGATGTTATTAGTCAAAACCAACGCACACGTGCGTCAAGGCGGTCGCCAAGCACGAACACCCGGGTCTGCCTGAGAGTAAAGGCCGAGACGAGCGTGGGGAGTGCCGTGCCAACAGCGTTGAGAACGGGAAGCATCACCATCTGCAAGTACAGCTAATGCTCGTTAGAGCCCCTCCCGGTTACCTTGTGAAGGGGGTCTGTATGCTAAACCGACATTTCGTATGGGGTTCGCTTGTTTCGTCAGGCTTTGTGCGTGCATCTAACCTGCACACGGTTACCACCCGATTTGTCCGTTCCGGAACAGTGACGGGTGGCTCTAATCGTCACAAATGCGCGTTACTGAATACTTCACGAAAGCAAAAACAAGTCACCACACAGCGTCTACAATTGTTCAACTTATATTGAAACAACCAACACTCAAAGCCTAACCAATCATCATCTCCCACATGGTCACGCAGCCCCAACCTTGACACACATCACCACACGCACAAATGTGCTGCGGGGAGAACAATCCCAACACAGCATGGATGTCTTCGACGCCGGCACAGAGGGCTGGAAAAACAGCTCACAGGCGCATCCACTCAGCCGCCTCAACGTACCCGCCCATGGCGGCGCCAACACCGTCGTCCAGCAGCTGCTGCCGGCGGGATGGCTGGGTCATCCAGCCAGGCAGCACACGGCCGTGCGGACGAGGGGTGTCGGGCGTGGGCGTTGAGCCCGGAGTGAGCACGGGCGGCGGGGCCATGTTGAGATTAATGGCGGGGCTTGCCCGCTCCTTGCGCTCGATGATGACGGGATTGCGTATGTCGAAGAGGTGGCAGAGTTCGCGCGGCGTCACACTCACAGCGCGCGCATAGCCGATGAGCATCTCACAGGCCGCCCGGGCAGTGCGGCGTGCTTCATGGCCCACGGGGTCCGCATCGTCGTACACCGCCTGCATCGTGGTCGGCGCCCTCCATAGCGTCGCCACCAAGGCCGCTTCCGGCTCATGAGTCAGAAGATCCGCCGCGGTCTCGGCAAATGTTGGCTCACCGTCGTCGATCGCGACGTATTCCGCGGCGGTCATCGCGCCGTTCCCGAGACCGAGGGAGCTAATGAGAGTTCCGACGTCGTTGATGTCTTCGAGCTCGATGTCGGGATAGGGATCCAGGGTCGGCTCGTCGTCGTGAACATGGGTCAACTCCAGGGACCACGACAGCGGCAGGCATCCAGGGCGCCACCAGCACCTCTGGATGGTGCGCGCACCGACGCTTATCCATGCGTCCGAGAGCCACCCCAGGACGTTGCGGAGGTTGGGGCGGTACCGTGCAACGGCGCTCGTCGCACCGTCGTCGTTCCACAGTGCCGTGAAGGCCCGCAGCCAGTGCTGGTGGTAGCGGGCCTTCGCAGTGGCAATTATGCCCTGGTTGAGAGGCTGTGTGAAGGCAGTAGTGTTCGGCGGCAGGAAAACGAGGCAGACGTTGCTCACGCACGTCGTCCTCATGCCGCAGACGTACTCGCTCCAACCACACTCGTCCCGCAGCATGTGCGAGCTCGCATTGTCGAGAAGGACCACGATGTGGCGTCCTTCAGCATACATCGCAGCATTGAGCTGCGATATAAAGTGAGTGAACAGCTGTAGATGGGGTTCGGGGTGGGAAGGGGACATTCCGTGGGAGGCATATTTACACACAGTTGTGAATGTCAACTAAAGTACAAATGTTGGGCGTATCATGGCGCCCGAATACACAAGCACAATCGCTTACCGGAGCGGTCATCCAACCCTTGGCGTTGTGCCGCCAATAGCAGACGGCTTCGGGGTCGTAATCCGGGCGGAAGTCGTGGGGGCGCCTCGCCTTGCTGATGACCAACGGCCGGAATGTGTGGCTCCCCTCTACGTTCACGAGAAACGCCACGGTTAGGCGGTCCTTGGAGATTTTGCGCCCTGGTATGCGGGCGTTGCTCTAAGTCCTCCGCGGCAGCACAGACAGCCAGAGGGCTATCTCGTCCAGATTGTAAGTGTCGCGCGGGCTGAGGCCGAGGTGCGTGAGCAGTTGCGGCAGCTTGTCGCGGGCGTCACGCACGGCAGCCATGTCGGCGCTGGCAGCCTCGCCTGCCGATGCACGACATCTAACCCCCTGGCGCCGCAACGCACGGCGCACCCAGCCAATGGAGCAGCGGAAGCCGGGCGGAATGCCTATGTTCCGCGCCATTGTCGCAACGTGGTCGCGGATCGTCTGCAGCGTTAGAGGAACGCCAGCGGGTCCGGCGTTTGCAATCCAACGCGCCATGGCCTGTTCCAGCTCAGGCCACGCGCCACCTCGACGGCGAACATGGTTGTCGCCCGTAGCCGTGACAGCCCAGCGTTCGGCGCTTTTCAAAATGCGGCCGACGGTGGAGCGGTCCGGACGCAGGCCGTATTGAGAGAAACACCAGCGGGCGAGGTCAATGTGACGGAGGCGCGGGTTTTCGACATGATGAAGGCATAAGTCGCGCTTGACATGCAGCGGAAGCTGCTCGCGACGATTAAATCGTGGCATGGTGGGAGGCTGGGGTGGGTGAGAACGATGCTCAAGTGAATTTGTGGGGCGGATTTTAAACTTGGTTGGATGAGGAGGCGGAGCATTGCTGGGGCCTGTTCTGTGTCCCAAATTCTATTCGTGTGGCTCTTGTTCGTTCCATGCACATGGCTGGCAAAGTCGATCGTGCGGTTGGGTTACCAGATGGTCGAAAGTCTGACGTGGGGTAGGCGAACAACGCCTGGCTATTAATGCGCTTGTACCCCGCTCATGCAGGGTACACGAGGCAGCGTGAATCGGCCCAAGTGTCTGTTACACGCACGATGATCCTAGCTTAGGTGGCGGGGCAGGTGTGCGAATGCGTTCACGAAACCACGGAGTTTTCGTCCATTCGTTTCGCCTGCCTGGCTCCTGGCCTAGAAACAAGGCAAACATGGGTCGGCAGGCCTTGTTGTGGACTGCACGTGTATTGTGGGCCGGACCGCGTGGACTGTAGTTGGCCATCCATGTGCCTGTACTGTGGGAGCAGCAAGCAGGGGTTTCGAGCTCGGGGGCAACGTTTCCATCCGGTGCATGGCAAATTCGCGTGCACTGGTCGGGCATCAATTGTACCCCTGCCATACGATGCCGAGAAAGCGGACCAGCTGTAGGGTTGTCACGTTGGGCGAATGACGAGTATACAAGGTGTTGCCACGGGGGCCATTTGTACCTTGGTTACACACTCGGCGCGGAAGGTGAGTTGGAGCTCTAGGTCCTTGTAAAGCGAGGCGCAAAATGTTGACGTGGCGCACTGTCAAGACGAGCGAACCGGGTAACCTATGATGTTGACGTGCGGCTCGGCTCGTTTTTACAAGTTCGAATGTCGGGGTTCGACCTTGTATGTGTGTGTGATTTTTTACAGTGTGGTAAGCCCGATGTTCTAACTTCGATAGAAGGAAATTAGAACTTCTTTCGTTGTAAGTTCAAAACTAAAATTCGCCCTAAAAACATAAACTTGTACAAATTTCAAAGACCACACGCGCCCTAAGTCGCGACCACCTTCGCCTGCAGCGCAAAATGAGAGTGGGTGTGAAACCATGGCGGCTTAGCCTTTGCCAGGTCGAATTGGAAGAGGAATACCTTTTTGGCTGCTACATTCGATCCCAATGCCTCTTGAGACTATTGATTCCGTGCCACACGAGGCTCACGGGGCTGCAGGTCCATTTTCGTGCTGTTGCCGTCCATCCTTGGCTGGCTCAAGCCGCTTGTTCCCGTGATAGTCGATGCGAATGCGGTGCCGTGACCCTCCTCTCCTTCCCAAACCGCCTACAGAGACATTTGTCGTCCCCGTCGCTGATCACGAAGTAGGTTTATTCGGAACTCCTATGTTCCTCGCGTATATGTGATCATGACCGCGGCTGTGGCTTGACGGCAGCATCGCTGCCTCTGCGGCACATCGCAAACGAAAGCGGAGAGCCCTCACCGACATCAACCATCGAGCGAATGTTGAATCTAAGAATGCCGGCTTCAAATTTTGGAAAACGACTGGAAATCCGGAATCGCGGATCGACGACCGATAGCGGATCGTAGGAGCAAAGGCGGATCGTACAAACGAAGGCGGAGGTTGGTTCTCCTGTTGGTGGCGGCTTGACGACCAATTTTTGAAGCCTTGGGTTCCGCAAACTTGATGGATCACGCGAAGTAGGCTTGATATGGATGATGAGAAGGAAGACGGATCGGGAGCAGGAGTGGCGGAGTCAGCAGGCGCTGCGGAGGCGGCGAAGCGGGCGGGGATACGGACAAGCAGCTCAAGCGGCGTTTGGCGGCAGCACAGGCGACAACGGGGAGAGCGGGAAGGAGAGCGATGGTGAAGGGGGGGCTGCTGATGGAGCTGTCTGGTGGGCAATTGACGAGCCCGAAGCCGGCAAGGTGAGACGCTCTGAGGGGTTGAAACGCGTGTGAGATTCCGGAGATTGGTGAAAGGGGATGAAAGAAGGGGGGTTGAAGGAGGGGGGGTGAGGGAAGGGATGAAGGAAAGGGGGATGGCGGAAGGGGGGATGAAGGAAAGGAGGGTGAAAAAAGGGGGGTTGAAGGAAGGGGGGGTGAAGGAAGGGGGGGTGAAGGAAGGGGGGATAAAGGAAGGGGGGATGAAGGAAGGGGGGATGGAGGAAGGGGGGGTGAAGGAAGGGGGGGTGAAGGAAGGGGGGTGAAGGAAGGGGGGGGTGAAGGAAGGGGGGGTGAAGGAAGGGGGGGTGAAGGAAGGGGGGGTGAAGGAAGGGAGGGTGAAGGAAGGGGGGGTGAAGGAAGGGGGGGTGAAGGAAGGGGCTGAATTTCCTACATTTCCCCCTTTCCCCTATCTCCTATCCCTTACCCCTATCCCCAATTTCACAACTCCCCCCTGTTGAATCCATGCGCGCCGATTGGAATGGCTGGGCTAGCGATGTGCGTGCGGTGCGCAGGCATCACCCCGGCACATCACGGAGTCAAGCAAAGCCGGACAATCATCACACCACGCCTCACCGGGCCGATGCAGCACCGCATTGATGCCTCACTCTCGCCGCTGCCGGAAACGTAATGAATGCCCCCCACCCCCTCAAGCTGTTCACGTGCGTCTCCTACAAGCCCACTTGCCACACGCCTGCCTGCCTGCCCACCATGTGTCACACACCTGCCTGTTTGTCACTTGTCACCCCCATGTCAGAACCCTCATGGACTCTGCCTTGTCCTTGGCATCAGCTGTTGCCAGCTCACCTGATCACGCGTGCTGCCCTTCCCACCATGGCATTGCTCCGTTCTGTCCTTCCCTGCTCCCTCCCTCTCCCTATCCCCTCCAGATCCATCCGCCCTTCAGCTCCGCGCCTGATATTCCTAGCTGATTTCTGCCTCAGTGCATTCACTGCACTGACTCCCACCACTTGTCTTACGATCTCGGTCCCTACTGCACTGCACCGCGACATGGTTCTTCTTGCCTCTGCACACCTTTCCCTCCGCTTCCTACAACCTCTCCCTCCCCACCTCCCTCACCTTCCCCCCACACCAGCATAGGCGCTTGACCTCAGAGCGCAGGCGCACTGACTGCCTGGGCAACCTGCGGGTCACAAGCAGGTCAGTTGCGGGTCAGTCTCGACTAACTCTGATTCTAGGTCACTTTTGGCTCACGCTCCTATCATTTTCATGTCACTGTTGGTGTTGTATGCCCTGCGAATGCCATGGTGTTATTCAAGGTGGCAACGTGGGACTAATGGTGACCAATATTATGCATCACTGCTCCCTCCTCTCCTTAACTAGTGCCCTCTCTTCTTCTAGTCAACCTCCAGATGCGCATATCAGCTGTCGCTCTGTATCAGTGCCCCCCATTCGCATTTCCACCCCCAATCCCACCCCCATTCCCATCCCCATTTCCATCCCCTGTCCCGTCCCGTCCCCTCTCCCCCCATCGTCTTCCACTTGTCCATCCCCATCCCCTTCTCCATCCCCATCCCCATCACCATCCTCTTCCACGTCGACAGATGAAATGGTGCAGCAAGTAGCCTGCATCACTCGCCACTCTCATGGCTCTCTCCGTTTGCCCCTCTGTTCCCCACTGCCCCCCTCCTCCCCTCTCCCCTCCCCAAGTGTGCACAGTGTAGCAGCCAGTAAATCTCCGCTCCCCCGCCAGCTCTGCACTGCACCTGCGTCTCCAGCACCCACGTCTGCCCCAGTGCACGGCACGGACTCGGACCCCACAAGCGAGCACACTGTTCACCAAGGCACCATCCCGCCCCGTCCCCATACCCTCTCCCTCCGCCCCCTCCTTCCCCACCCCTCCCAGCTCCGCACCTGTTTCTCCCGTGCCAAGTCTGCACAAATTCTCACCCCTACCCCTATGGTGTGGTGTCTATGCCCACCCGCTTACTCTCCCATTCCCGCCTCCTCCAACCCAGTCCATGTCTACCGTTTCCGCGCCGCACCTGCTACTCGTGCACCCATTCCTGGCCCATGACTTCCCTCCCCTGCAACATGGGCGCACTGTTCAAGGGAGAATCCGCGGGCTGCTGGGTGCACTCCTTGCCAGGCGGCAACGCACCTTCCCGTTCGCTGCCCATTGCCCTCTTTTTTCCCCCCCGCGCCCCTCCCTCCACCAGCGCCGCACCTGCTTCTCCTGCGCTGATTTCTGGCCCTCTTTCACCTGTGCCCTACAACTTGGGCGCACTCTTCACGGGGAACCTGCGGGCTGCTCAGTGCACTCCTCAAGGAAGTGCTCTGTCAGGGAGGTGGCAGCTCAGGCGCGAAAGCGGAGAGGCGTGAAAGTGGAGGAATGTGAAATGGTGTGGCTAATCTAGACCAGAATCTAGACTCCATAATCCATGGGTCAGGGTCCGTTATGCACCACGAGCCATGGCACGCGAGTGAGTACTATGTTCAGCCATGCACCATGATGCATGGATCGCTACTGCTGATGCCTCTCACGCTCACCCTATGCCTTTGGCGTAGCATTGACGCCGCATAGCATGGCCTTGTAAATTGGCTCACACACACACACACACCGCCCAAGGCCTAACACCAACTGTCTGCCCACTTCCCAGTTACCGACTCTTAGTGTTCAAATGCACGGGCATGGTTGGGGATTATGGTCCCCGTGGGCATGGTTGGAGCCATAAGCCGTGAGCCATGATGATATGCCATTGGTTTCCCAGAGCATTGAGCCATGAGCCATGAGCTGTCAGCCATGAGTTGATGTGTTGCCATTGGTTGCCCAGGGCAATGCTCTCCTCATCACCTGCCTTGCATCAGTTGTATGGTTGGTCTTGGTATGTCATAACCTGTGGCATACAAACAAAGAGAAATCATTCAATAGCTGCGTCTTTTAGCCCACCGACTCCTGCCTTTATCACTGACTGGCTCCCACATCTCACTCATACGCCACTGTGCTGTTTACCCTCTCCCTCTCCCCTCCATCAACTCCCTTCCCCCTCAGCTCCGCAACTCACACACCCACTCGTGGCCCAGCATTCGTGCGTCTACAGCATGGGCGCACTGTTCACAGACAACTTGTGCGTTGCTCAGTGCACTCGGAGCTGCTAAGGGGGAGGCTTCAGGCGATGTTGGGCTTGGCTATTGGGTACCCAGATGATTGCCCACCTACAGTCACCCATCTGCCACCTACAGTCACCCATCTGCCACCTACAGTCAACCATCTGTCACCTACAGTCACCCATCTGCCACCTACAGTCACCCATCTGCCACCTACAGTCAACCATCTGCCACCTACAGTCACCCATCTGCCACCTACAGTCACCCATCTGCCACCTACAGTCACCCATCTGCCACCTACAGTCACCCATCTGCCACCTACAGTCACCCATCTACCACCTACAGTCACCCATCCTGTCATCGCACCTTCAGGCACCACATCTCCCTCCCATCCACGACAGTCTCATATGCTGTCACCCCATGCCCCCTCCATCCACACGCCTGTCAGCCCTACTGTGGTGCACATATATTTGTCCTGCATTCCCACTCTTCCTCTTCCCGTACTCCCCCCACCCCTCATCCCTTACACCCCCCCTTCTCCTCCCTCCTTTTCCTCCACTGTGGATGGTTGATGGCGGCTGAAGAGTAGCACCGTACCCCAATCGACTTTCACAAAACCTTTCACTCTCACCCCCCTCAGCCCCAGCTTCTGTTCCCCTCCCCTGCTCCTACTATTTTGTTCAACCCCGCCATTCCTTCCTCGTTCTCTCCGAAAGGGAGGGGCCGAAGGGGTGGACATAGATGGGGGAGGTACAGAGGGGGAGGGACTGAGGGGAAGGGGCAGAGGGGAAAGAGAGGTGGAGAAACAGAGGGGAAGGTTGTAGGGGCGGAGACAGAGGGGATGACACAGTGCGGAAGGGACAGAGGGGGAAGGACTGAGGGGGAGAGGGAAGGTACTGAGGGAGAGAGCCAGAGAAGGAGAGACAGAGGGAAAAAGAGAGAGGGAAGGGGCACATTCCTACCGTCGCGCAATCACAATCTACTTACTCTCCTTCCCTCTCTTGCTCACCTTTTCCTCCCCTCTCGTCCACTGTCCTTCCTCACCCCTCTCGCTTTTTCCTTCCCTATGTGCCACTCTCATCTCTCCACTCTCTTGTTCGTGCCTTCAGCCAACTGTCCGCCTTCCTATCCTGTATCCTTTCCATCCCCACCGCACACCACCCATAATCCCACACATCGTCCCATCCCTTCCCGTACCCTCCATATTCATTCCACTCACTCGACCCTTCTGCACCCCCTTCTCATCGCGTTTACCATGGAGATGGTGCCTCGACTGAGTGCCTTAATGATAATAAGATGATGAGGTTAGATGGTGATAGGATTTGAGCCCGAGTTTTTTACTGGAAACATTATCATAGGTACCATATTGGATTATAACGTTTGTTTTGGAACAGCAATATGATAAATATTGTGTAATGATCAACTAACGTAATCCCCATATTGTTGATGCTATTTTATTGTTTGAACGTTTATGTACCGTATCTATATTTCCTCATCGTTTCTCTTGGGATCACAATCGAGGATTGGGAATTTGTGTGGCGAGCGCTGTAGTTCCTCGCCACTTCGTTCGCCCCACGCAACTTGCCGAAATTCCCAGTTCGGGGTGGGAAAAGATCAAACAGGGGCCGAACAGTGCCGGAGGATTTCAAAGTAGGGCCAGTAAATCTCGACCGTAGGATTTCAACCCAGAGCTACCCAAACGACTAGGCGAACAAGCCGAACCGTGAGTAAAAGGGATTTGCTAGAAGAACCGATTTGTGTACTCAATTGATTTATTTAGGGTTTTTACCTCTGTCTACTACAACGCGCGCGTCGCCTTCTTCTAGAAGTAAAATTCGGCGGGTCAAATCGTGAGTGCGTATAACATATTACATTCTGGGTGATACATATCACCTAACCGATCGTAAACGCACAGGAAAATAATATATTACCCATTCGGAAACGGATGCGACTCGGGAGGCATCAACCCTAAATACCAGGAAGTATTCCGTTTTTTGGGTTGATCCGTCCCGAAAATGAATCCAGGTTCTCTATGAGTTTAGTTTTTTTGGCTGCCCTAAGAGTTCCCAGTAGATTCGGCTCGCTAAACGACACGCGAGCGAGAACGCAGACTGGTACATGCCACTAATAACATAATGACGTGCAATAAACGAGGACCCTATGTTAATTTCTCTTTGCGCAGCGGTTTGGTAAGTTTCGGGCCTCTCGGCCCTTGGTTGATCACCCCTCTGGCACTGTTCGGCCCCTCGTTGATCTTTACCCGTTCGGGATCTTGAAATTTGGAAACCAACCACAAGTCTCGAAACAACATTCTACGTCATCTTTGACAATCTGTCTTATCGGCGATCGTGTTTCAGCCATGGCAACATCAAAGCTAGTCTCAGAACAACAATCTAGGTCCTCTCGAGACGATCAAGGTTACATCAGTAGGCACCGCGTTGATTATTATTTCACACTTGATTAGTCTTCTGCGAAACCGGGCGGTTCGATCCCGCTTTCTATTGGACTTGGTTTCCCGATCCATGGCAATATCCAGTGTGTTCAGACGACACATCAACGGCCCTGGGATGGCAGCAGCTTATGCGACAAGGATGAGTTGTCAAGCACTTATCTACCCCATGAGACTGAACGTGATTGGGTGGTTGGATTTTTTCCCAGAACGATGGTCACAATTGAAGGAGCCTCCGCTGCCTCGGGCATTGGCGGAACGCGTCGCACGGCGTCGCATGAATCCAAACCGTAGCATGGGTGGGAACCGTTGCCTGATGACAAGCATGTTTCAGCTCTCTCAAAGCTTTAGCTTAGTCGGTGATCACATAGTCTCGTCGGACTTCAGCCAGCGACCAAGGGAGCTCTGTTACTGGCCTTCCCGTTCCAGTGAAACCGACAGATCTGAATGAGAAGTTGTGCCTCGACTGAAAACTAGCAATTTGACTCGAATCCTGCAGCTCCTGTCATGGCTTTCGAGAGTTCAGATCCCATCTAACCTGTCGAACCGTGGATCTCGCGGTCGTACAAATAGCAGTGGCGAGTCGGCGGGATGCGCCTCGAATGAAACCTCTCCATTCGGTACCATTAGCATTAGCTTCGGAATTAAGCCGACTAGTAACGCACACGTAGATGTCTCTCTACATACTGACGAACTTCAGTTTCCGGCTCTAAACCGACTGTTATAGTCCCACCTGCATAAGTGCTGCCTGCCATGCGAGACACGTCAGCAGCATTCAGGACACGATAAAGCGGCTGCGAATTTGAGGCAACAAGTTCGTCTCGTTGCTCTTAGGCAGCAAAGTTTGCCCTTTCTTCTGGCTTGACCGTTGAGCAAACCAACTCAGTGCAGGTACATCCATCAATGTGTCCTCCTTCAAGGAGAAACGTGCATAGATAAGGGCGAGATGAAACCCGAGTAGTTCCGGGAAGCTCCCAGTGCTGGATCTGCTACTGATGTGCTGGACCCTCGCATTCGAATTTTGCTGCTACGTTTGATGGTTTTTTTATGGACCCCATCATGCCCAGTACTCAGGAAGACGAGACGCACAAGCCAATGAGAGGAGCCCCGACTGGATCTGGCGGAGCGGAGCTTGATTCCGGTGATTCTGCTGCTGGCAGTGGCAAGGAAAAAGGAGAGGGAGAGGATGGCGCCGTGTTGGAGCTTCTGAAGTTGGAAGAGCAGCTGAAGGATATGAACGCGTGGCTGGGGACACTTCAGCAAGGTGGAATAGGTCAGTCCATTCGAAAAAACGGAGGGGCAGCAGGGCAAGCGGATGAGCAAGTGGAAGAGGAAGAGGAAGATGAAGAGGAAGAGGAAGAGGATAAGGAAGAAGAGGAGGACTATGCTTTGAGAGATGCACGCTTGTCGCTGACCATTCAAACGTTGGAAGAGCAGGTTAATACTACTGCGTTGCTGCAGTGGGCACCCTGCTCCAAAGGCCAGATTGACCAGGGTGAACCGGATCAGCGCGATGAGGCAAAGGGAGGGGCAGCAGAGCAAGTGGAAGAGGAAGAGGAAGAGGAAGAGGATGGGGAAGAGGAAGAGGAAGAGGACTATGCTGTGAAAGAAGCACGCTTAACGCTGACAATTCAGAAGTTGAAAGAGCAGGTGAAGACTATTACGATACTGCAGAGGGCACCCTGCTCTGGAGTCCAGATTGACCAGGGTGTTCTGAGTCAGCTCGATGAGGCAAACGGAGGGGCAGCAGAGGAAGCAAGAGTGGAGGGAAGTCGAGAGCGGATTCAGCTGCTGTCTTTAACAGATACGGTTCACTACGTGGATGTGATGAGTGGGTGGGAGGACCTGTGCAAGTGCTGCTTTGAGCGTGCAGTGAGCCAGCGAGCACAGCGAGCTCTTGACATGAAGAACCTGGAGGACTTGCGTCGCCACCTGCGCGAGCTGCAGCCTCGTTCCATCCCCGCAGCAGATCCCAAGCAGCCGCAGCGTCATGAAATGTTTCCTCAGGAGCATTTTGCGTGGACGGCAGAGAGGGCGTCTCGCCTTTGCGCGGAAGGGATGTTTCTCGAGTGGATGGCCGAGCCTCATGTGGGCGTGCTCATGGACCTGGGGAAAATCAGATCTCGCCTCACTGCTATTTTGGATACTACAACAGCTGCTCCAGCTGCTGATGACTCGTCTCCTGCTCCAGCTGCACCTGTTGCTGCTGCCCCTGCTGTTCCTACTGCTCCTCATGCCCCTGCTGCTGCTGCAGTGTGGTCCTGCTGTTGGCGATGCAGCAGCTGCTGGGCTGCCTATCGCCGTGCTGTCAGCTTCTCAACGTTCCTTGTGCTTGTGGCGAGATCCCCGCGCCTTGTGACTCTGTGGAAAGCTCACTTGGTGTCGCATTCGCCTGTCTGGCCAGCAATTGTCGCTGAGCTGGGGGGGGGGCAGGCAGGTGGAGCATGACTGCTTTGCATCCATTCTGGTGCAGGTGCTGGGGGTGAAGGAGCGTGTTGATCTGCAGGAAGGGTTTGCGTTCTTCGTGCAGCGCCTGTTGTCAGGCGGGCTGGAGAAGGCGCATGCAAAGAGGAGGGGGGGGGGCGAGGGGAGGGCTGCTGAGGTGCATGAGGGGATGGTGTTTGGGCGAGTTGAGGAGAAGGCTGCTGAGAAGATGCATGGGAAGGGGAAGGGCGGATGGGAGGCGTCACATGGAAAAAAAGATTGGGGACACGGAGAGGGAGAGGCGGGGGGGATCAAGGTAGAGATTGAAAAGGTTGCTAGCAAGTGCAAAAGAGTTAGGAAGGGCTTGAGTTGGAGGGAGCATCTGAAGGGGCCTGTGTGGGAGAGGTATGTGGATGGCATGGCTTGGATCTTGGAGCATGGAGGGGGGGAAGGGAGAGAGTTCCGGTGCAGCAGCTGCAGTGAGGGCGGCGGCGGCGCCAGCAGCAGCAGCAGAAGCAGCAGCAGCAGCGGCAGAAGCAGCAGCAGCAGCACCAGCAGCAGCACCAACAGCAGCACCAGCAGCAGTGGTGGCGGCAGCTGCGTTGACGGCGGCAGCAGAAGCAGCAGCAGCCGCGTCAGCAGTCCAGGCAGCAGCAGTAAAAGCAGCAGTGCTTCGAGGGGTATGCATGTGAGTGGTGTAGATGCGACCGATTTCGCCCTTGCTGTGACCACAGTGTTGTCGAAGCCAGAGCACTGGAAGGCTGCGGAGCTGTTGTTCCATGATGGCAACACTGCGAGCAAGATGCGCGTAGAGAATGCAGCTATTCTGGTGGCCAGGAAGAGGCTGCTGCAGCACCGCTTGCAGCAGACAAGGGGGAAGGATGGAGGAGCAGGAGCAGATCCAGGAGGGGCCCCGCCTGCTACTGCTGCTGCAAGCATCTATACGAATGCTATAACCCCGTCTGTCATGAGGCTCAAGCGTGTCAATACAAACTCTGTTGTTGCTGCAATGACCTATCGAGCTGGTTGCATCTTGCAGTGGGTTCGAGTCTACGGCTCAGATTCCATCTCGGAGAAACAGTGCTTCATAAACGACCCTCAGAGCAAGGTCAGGTCTATGCGCCACCCGCTTCGGGACCTTCCGAGGCTTCTGGTCGGGTTCGGCGCCATTCCCAAGCCTCCGGAGGAAAGCGGAGTTCCTTTAGACTGGGAGGAGTGGCCTGAAGGCGTCGAAGCTGCTGTGAAGTTTCCTTCCAACCGAAATGAGAGGTGTTTTGGCCTTGGGATAGTGGAGGAGCGTGGTGAACCATCTGAGAAGCTGACCCTGCACCCTCCTAAGCACACACCTGAAGCAGGAGGGAGCAGCATGAGTGCAAAGGAAGAAGGATCTATTGCAAAAGGCCAAGGAGGTAACCAGGAAGCTGAATGGAGCAGAGCGCGCGGGATAGCTGAAGCAGGAGGGGGCAGCAGGAGTGCAAGGAGGAAAGTCTCGAAGGCAATAGGGCAAGGAGGTTGGGAGGAAGCCATACGGAGCAGAGCGCGTGAAAGAGGTGAAGCACTTCGAACCGCCGCCGAGATGACAGCAACAACACTACCGCCGCCCAGAAGGAAGCTTCCCATCGTTCGCTGCGAGGCAGACGCTGACTTCCTGGTGGGGTTTGCTGGGTATCTCATGGACCCTCCTGCCTGCTCCCAGTGCCGCGCCTGCTCTCAAGAATTCATGTATTATGTGTGCATCATTGCTGTGATCGCCAACTTCGCTTACCGCCCCGTCAGAAATCTGTTCTCCCGCGTGCTCTCCATCTTCCCGCCATCCTCTCCTGGTTTTGGCGAGCTCGTTGAGTGCTTGGACTTTCCAGCTCGCTTGCCCAGGCCGTTGAACCTGCACATGCTGCTGAGGCGAGCGGAGCAGGTGCCTCTGTACTTCCTGATTCGCATGGCAGTGTGGTTCTCTCATCCCCATCTATATCTTGCTGAGAAAGGGCAGGGAGTGCAGTCAGGCGCACCAAAAAAAGGTGTGGAGGAAGCGAGCAAAGTTGGCAGTGTGAAGGTGCACGGCTGCTGGGATGGTGAGATGGATCAGGGGAATGGGGGAGAGGTGTGGGAAGAGGTGCGAATGTGGCATGCCGCAGCAGCGAGTACATGGATGTCAAACCTGGGGGTCGCGGGGGGGAGCGAGGAGTGCAGAGCCAGCAGAGAGCGGGAGACGCTCAACATCAAGTGGGCTCTTGCGGCGGCGATCGTCCCGAGATACTGTGAGGGCTTGCAGGGGCATCAAGGGTCTGCCAAGGTGAGCATCACTGGTAGCAGCAGCAGCAGCAGCACCAGCAGGAGCAGCAGCAGCAACAGCAGCAGCAGCAGCAGCAGCAGCAGCAGCAGCAGCAGCAGCAGCAGCAGCAGCAGCAGCAGCAGCAGCAGCAGCAGCAGCAGCAGCAGCAGCAGCAGCAGCAGCAGCAGCAGCAGCAGCAGCAGCAGCAGCAGCAGCAGCAGCAGCAGCAGCAGCAGGAGCAGCAGCAGCAGCAGCAGCATCAGGAGCAGCAGCAGGAGCAGCAGCAGCAGCAGCAGCAGCAGCAGCAGCAGCAGCAGCAGCAGCAGCAGCAGCAGCAGCAGCAGCAGCAGCAGCAGCAGCAGCAGCAGCAGCAGCAGCAGCAGCAGCAGCAGCAGCAGCAGCAGCAGCAGCAACAGCAGCAGCAGCAGGAGCAGCAGCAGCAGCAGCAGCAGCAGCAGCAGCAGCAGCAGCAGCAGCAGCAGCAGCAGCAGGAGCAGCAGCAGCAGGAGCAGCAGCAGCAGCAGCAGCAGGAGCAGCAGCAGCAGGAGCAGCAGCACCAGCAGCAGCAGCAGCAGCAGCACGAGCAGGAGCAGCAGCAGCAGGAGCAGCAGCAGCAGCAGCAGCAGCAGCAGCAGCAGCAGCAGCAGCAGCAGCAGCAGCAGCAGCAGCAGCAGCAGCAGCAGCAGCAGCAGCAGCAGCAGCAGCAGCAGCAGCAGCAGCAGCAGCAGCAGCAGCAGCAGCAGCAGCAGCAGCAGCAGCAGCAGCAGCAGCAGCAGCAGCAGCAGGAGCAGTGAGAAGAATGACAAGAAGGGAGAGGAGCCGGCTTATCTTAGCTCATGGCTGGGGGAAGTGAATCTGGTTGCATGTCTGCGAGAGATGCTGCTGGGGGAGCTGTGCTACCTCCCTGCCTCCTCTGTTGCTCTGTCCGCCCCTGCTACTGCTCCCACCCATCTTGCTGCCTCTCCCACCCCCACTGCAATAAGCAAGCGTGCTGCTGCTACTGCTTCTTCGGATGCCCATGGCCATGTGTGTGGTGCTGCGGAATGTGAGGCGGTGGAGAGTGGCGGAGGGAAGCTGAGGAGGTGCGGTGGGTGTGGCAAGGTGGCGTATTGCAGCAGAGAGTGCCAAAAGGCGCACTGGCCCTCCCACAAGCTCACATGCCCTGGCAGGACCAGCGGGAAGAGAAGTGGGACGTATGGGAGCAAGGACGGCTGCATGATGATTGGAAAGGAGAGTGGTTGTGAGGGTTCCGGTGAGAGTGGAAATATGGGGGCATGGTGGTAAGCTGATTGGCTAGGTCAGTTGCATGGGCAAGTGCAAGGACAGTGCCAGGCACGGGTGTGAAAGCATCGGAGAGAAGAGCTGGAAGGAGGATGGCAAAGTTGTGGGAAGGAAGAGAGAAGGTGAGAGGAGAGGGGAGGGGAAAGGACGGGGGGGTAGGGAGAGGAGGGAATTGTGGTGTGCTGTACCCGGTTGTGGAGGTTTGAGGATCGTAAGGGACTTCAGCAATATTACAGTTGAGAGGTTTTCAAGGTTTGGTGAAACAATTGCTGTGAATATCTGTTTGGACATGTTACGGTAATACTGCTACTGGTATTATGCCAATATCCTAATCGACGTTAAAGGAAGATTGGAGGTGAGAGGGGAGAGGAGAGGGAAGAGGAGACAGGAAGGCTGGGGAACGCAGTACCAGTTCCTTATGAGTTGTGGGACTAGATTCAACAATTGCTGTGATTCTGTTTGGACAATGCTACCAACATGCTACCGGAAGTGCTTTGTATGATAAACCAACAAGGACCGTTTATGCTTTGTTGATGATGTCAAACTCACAATACCGAGAAAGCACTGGCACATTCAATTGGTAAGGAACATACAGTACAGACGTAGGCACAATCACTTGGTAAAGAACATACGGTACATACCGTCATACCCCGGATAGAAGCGCCCCTGGGGTTGTAATAAAACACTGTTTTTTAGGGGGTGCGCTTATAATTGAGGAAATTTATAAGCGCCAGGGCTTATACAATGACATATATGAAATCTAGTTTATTTTACACCAAAGTGTTCATCTTGTTCTTGCGATTTGAATCGAATCGATGTTGTAGAGGGCTGGATTGTGAATTTCACGTAAATTGACAGTGGCTGATTCCCTGCCAACACACACAGTCAGAATGAGTCAGATTCACCTCATGACAGGTCATTCTGACTTGACGCCAAGGCATTGAGTCGCGCGAGGGTGAAGGGATTCGAATTTCTGAATGTGGGGATGCAAAAAATTGTTTTTCGTTACAGCGTTTCCAGTTAAAATATAAAAACTATTTCAGAGGGTGGCGCTTATAATCCGTAAGCCTTTAGGGGTGCGCTTATAATCGAGGACCGGATATAAGCGCCCTCATCCTTTTATAAGCGCCGGCGCTTATCCGAGGCCTGCGCTTCTATCCGGGGTATTACGGTACGTAGGCACAATCACTTGGTAAGGAACATACGGTACATACGTAGGCGCATTCACTTGGTAAGGAACATACGGTACATACGTAGGCACATTCATGTCAGAACATTATAGCTTATACTTTTGTTTAGGCTGTAGTGGGGTATCCCATAGGGGGTAGAACCCAATTAGGGTTAGTACTTGTACCCACTTCATTCATAGTTCATTCATTCTCGTTTCTTCTCATGGTATCGAGCACGTTCCCTCGTGGGAAATGATCCTAGGGCCCACCATCGAAATTTTTTTTCCTGCCCGAAGCGCGCTCCGCTTAGGCCCGAGTCGCACCTCGGGTCCTCTCTCTACTGACGCGGCCTCCCTCGAGCCGCCCTTGCTCGGCCGTCGCCGCCCTTAGCGGCCCGTCGCCACCCTACGCGGCCCGCCCGCCGCCCTTTGGACGCCCGTCCCGGCCACGTGCGCCGCCCGTCCCGTGCGCCGCCCGTCGACGCCCGTCCCGGCCCCGTGCGCCGCCCGTCCCGTGCGACGCGGCCCGTGCGCCGCTCGTCCCGGCCCCTCGCCGCCTGTGCCGGCCCGCCGCCGCCCGACGCGGCCCGTGCGCCGCCTGTACCGGCCCGTTGCCGCCCGACACGGCCCGCGCGCCGCCTATCCCGGCCCGTCGCCGCCCGGCCCGTCGCCGCCTGTACCGGCACGTCACCACACATTCTGAGCACAAGTTCAAGGCCACAAGGCCAATTCACATGCAGGAGTACATATATATATATATATATATATATATATATATATATAAGGCTAGACAAGCAAGAGCAGGTATATATATATGTAACAATACAAGTAAGGTCAAGGGGTGAGTGAGGCAAGACAGGGACAAGACCCAGCTGAGTGCAGAAGCGCTGATGATCACAAGGCGGAAGTGCCTTGGTGAAAACATCAGCAGTGTTGGCCTCAGAGGCCACGTACGCAAGACGCAACTGTCCACGCTGCTGTAGCTCACGAGCAAGGAAGTAGCGGAGAGCAATGTGCTTTGTTCTGTGCTAACGAGTTAGGAACTTAGGAGCCATGGAGATAGCGAGATTGATAGCGAGAGGAAGGTCGACAGAGCTTGGCCAAACAAGAGGGTTCAATAATAGCAAAGAGATACAACATATAGTCAAGAAACTAGAGGTTCACCACCAAACAGAAGACAAGATAAATTCACTACACCTAAACCACAAGCAGTTACATAAAATAACTTTGACATAAGGAACATACGGTACATACGTAGGCACAATCACTTGGTCAGGAACATACGGTACATACGTAGGCACAATCACTTGGTAAGGAACATACGGTACATACGTAGGCACATTCACTTGGTAAGGAACATACGGTACATACGTAGGCACAATCACTTGGTAAGGAACATACGGTACATACGTAGGCACATTCACTTGGTAAGGAACATACGGTACATACGTAGGCACAATCACTTGGTAAGGAACATACGGTACATACGTAGGCACATTCACTTGGTAAGGAACATACGGTACATACGTAGGCACATTCACTTGGTAAGGAACATACGGTACATACGTAGGCACAATCACTTGGTAAGGAACATACGGTACATACGTAGGCACATTCACTTGGTAAGGAACATACGGTACATACGTAGGCACAATCACTTGGTAAGGTGTCAGAAATTCAGCTAACGAGTTAGGAACTTTTGAGCCATGGAGATAGCGAGATTGATAGCGAGAGGAAGGTCGACAGAGCTTGGCCAGACAAGAGGGTTCAATAATAGCAAAGAGATACAACATATAGTCAAGAAACTAGAGGTGCACCACCAAACAGAAGACAAGGTAAATACACTACACCTAAACCACAAGCAGTTACATAAAATAACTTTGACACGCCCCCATAATTGCTTGTGGGAAGAAGTGTAGTTATCGCCCCCTGAAGGGGTACACCAGGCAGAGTGCGCAGCAGAACGGGAGAGGAATGAATTAACTATGAAACAGTTGGGTACAAGTACTAACCCTAATTGGGTTGTACCCCATATGGGCTACCCCACTACAGCCTACACAAATGTATAAGCTATAATGTTCTAACACACCCCCATAGGCAAAGTGGTGGAGAATAAGGGGTCACAAGACCAGTCAAGCAAAGAAAAGCAAAGCAAGCTCAGGGTGGATCACAAAGTCACCACACATTCCGAGCACAAGTTCAAGGCCACAAGGCCAGTTCACATGCAGGAGTACATATATATATAAGGCTAGACAAGCAAGAGCAGGTGTATATATATATGTAACAGTATAAGCAAGGTCAAGAGGTGAGCAAGTGAGGCAAGGCAGGTACAAGACCCAGCTGAGTACAGAAGCGCTGATGATCACAAGGCGCAAGCGCCTTGGTGAAGATATCAGCAGTGTTGGCCTCAGAGGCCACGTACGCAAGACGCACCTGACCACGCTGCTGTAGCTGACGAGCAAAGAAGTAGCGAAGAGCAATGCGCTTCGTTCTGTGCTCCAGTCTCTGCTCCCGACACAAGGCCAGCATGGCCTTGTTGTCTACGTATAGCACTGGAGGAGAACGAGGCGGCTCTCCAAGGTCAGTCAGCAGGTAGGTGAGCCAGCGAAGCTCCTGTGCAGCCATGGCTCCTGTGTAGATCTCAGGCCTCACAACTAGAGCCGAGAACAGAAGACGAGCGAGTAGACCGCCACGAAACAGAGCCGGAACCAAGGCTGAAGGTGTAACCCTGTGACGACCGCTGCGTAGCCTGGTCGTCAGCCCAAGAAGCGTCTGCATGCCCAGTGAGGACCACTGGACTCTGCCCTCCAAGCACAAGCCCCATGCCCGACGTACTGCACAAGTAGCGCAACACCCTCTTCGCTACACCCATGTGCTACGGTCTGTGTCTCCCAGGAGCAACATAGCGTGCGAGAATGCTAAGAGGGTATGCAAGGTCAGGTCGTGTGCAGGTCATCAGGTACATGAGACAGCCAACAAGCTCTGGGTACGGGCCACTCGACTCTACGGACTCATCCGAAGGCAGAGCTAAGAGCGAGTGGCGAGTAGGCAGAGGAGTGGCCTGAGGCGAGGAGTACGTGAAGCCGAAGCGCTGAAGGACCTGCTGCACCATGTGTGACTGAGTCAGGGTAATGGTGCGGCGTGCTCTGTCCCGGGTGATCTGCAAGCCAAGGTAGCTGCGTAGTTCACCCAGGTCAGTGCACGTGTGTCTCTTCTGCAACTCGGACTTCACGTGGGCGAGTCCAGCAGTGTCAGCTGTGGCAAAGACCAAGTCGTCGACATACACGAGGATGTAGAACGGCGGCAAAGAAGTGTCGTTGCGCAGAAACAGCGACGGGTCGGCAGTAGAGGGAGCAAACCCAAGAGCCGCAAGTGTAGTCCTCAGTGTGTCGTGCAACTGATGCGGTGCCTGGCGGAGATCGTAGACTGGCCGCCGGAGGCTCCACTGGGTGCCAGGAGGAAAAGACCCAATGAAGCCAGGTGGGCGGCGCAGCCAGATCTCCTCGTGCAGGCTGCCCTGCAAGAAAGCAGTGCTGAAGTCAAGAGAGTGCAGCTCGTAGTCACGGTGAGCAGCTATGTGCAGCAGTACCCAAAGAGTGGTCATCTTCGGGGTGGGAGAGAAGGTCTGAAAGTAGTCAACACCCTGCCGCTGACTGAAGCCACGAGCCACGTAACGCGCCTTGAAGACAGGCGGAGAACCCCGGCGGCCGCTTCACCCTGAAAATCCACATGCCACTGACGATGTTCGCCCCAGGTGGGGGGACCTCGTTAACGTAGGTGCCTGTGGACTTCCAGGAAGCCATCTGTGTGTCCATAGCTGCGTGCCACTGAGAGG